CACTTTTTATCAAATGACCTGTTAATCCCTGACAGACACATTAATTAAAAGTTTCTTTGAAGTCACTTGTGACTGAGTGTAACGAGCAGGACAGTAGGCTGCTAACACGCCGAACTCAATGCAGTGGAGACTTCCAGCTTGATAAGCCTTGTTAATTGAAATGTGACGACCCATGAATCGCGCCGAGATCGTCTTATCAGAGTTAATTTGTGCTGGAAGCTTTATTTGTTTGTTTGTTTGTTTGTTTGTTTGTTTGTTTGTTGTTTAACGCCGCAGTCAGCAATATTCCAGCTATATGACGGCGGTCTGTAAATAATCAAGTCTGGACCAGATAATCCAGTGATTGACATCATGAGCATCGATCCACACATTTGGGATCGATGACATGCATGAACCATGCGTTAAAACAAACAAACAAACAAACAGAAGTAAGAAAAGTGATTCAAGGTTACCCAGAGCTCAGTACACGAACAATACTCAGTACTACATTGATGACATGAAGTTTGAGGGCATCTTCTCAAAAAGGCTACACCAGATTTATATTTCAGAGGTGGCAAGTTGTAGTTCGTTTTTCAGAGGTTCAGAAATGTTTATCGTCAGTTTCAAGATTATTGCACTAACAGCAACTCGCTTGCATGTGTACATGTACATTTGCGTGTGTGCGTATATGTGTGAGACGTGTGACTTGCATGAAACATTCAACAATGGCATTTGGAAGGAATTTAAGGTTGAGCAGTATGGACCTAGTTATGTCAGGGAGTGAGTCAGCACTGATGCTGCAATATTTCAAAGTTCATTATTATTTTTTTATAGAGGTTGTAGCAGGATCACTCAGGGTACATGTTTTTTTGTTTTTTTATTAAAAACTGCTTGTGAGAAATGTAGGACATGCTCATCGATAATGTGAAAAAACGACTTCTTGAAACATTGAACAATGGCATGTTGGGAGGAGAGTGGAGATGGATGGACCCAGTTAAGTCAGTGGGCGTAATATTTCACAGTTCAATATGGGGTCTTGCACTGGTCACATTGGATTGGTGTCACCATCAATCCAGCTCCTAGAGGTCAGTTACACCAGATCAACAAGTCATGGCACTACAGGATGGCTGAAGAACGAGTACATCACATTACGTTGTCATGGATATGAGTATCAGTGCATTGTAGTACTGTTGTCATAGATACGAGTATTGGTACATTGTAATATTGTTGTCATAGATACGCATATCAGTACATTGTAGTACTGTTGTCATAGATACCAGTATTAGTATATTGTAGTACCGTTGTCATAGATACCAGTATCAGTACATTGTAGTACTGTTGTCATAGTTACCAGTATTAGTACATTGTAGTACTGTTGTCATAGATACCAGAATCAGTGCATTTTAGTACGGTTGTCATAGATACCAGTATCAGTACATCACATTACTGTTGTCATAGATATGAGTATCAGAACAATGTAACATTGTAGTAATGTTGTCATAGATACGAGTATCCGTACATTGTAATATTGTTGTCATAGATACAAGTATAAGTACATTATCACATTGTAGTAATGTTGCCATAGATACGAGTATCGGTACATTGTAGTACTGTTGTCATAGATACAAGTATCAGTACATTGTAATATTGTTGTCATAGATACGAGTATCAGTACATTGTTACATTGTAGTAATGTTGCCATAGATACGAATATCAGTACATTATAGTACTGTTACCGTAGAACCAAGTATCAATACATCGAAGTAGTGTTGTTATAGATACGACTATCAGCACATCATCTGTTGTCATACTCAGGGGGCAATTTTCCCAATCTAACTTGCCAATCAATGAAGGCTATGTTAGAGTATCAGTAAAAGAATCCTAAACCTGTATCAAGAGTCTCCATTCTTTCCTCTGGAATGACTTTGGTGCCTGGACGACGCTTTATACATTGCTGGGAAATGTAAAACCCTCTAACGGTTAAGCATACCATGTTTTCAAATTAGAGTTTTCCCACATAGATTTGATACCTGTAGATTTAATTTGAAATAGAATACATCAGTATTTGAAACCTCTAAATGAAAACAAAGTCAGTTTATCTCCATTCTACCACAGCAAAATAAATGTGAGAATAAATGAGAATTCTTTTGGATTGATGAGTGCTGAGTTGAGAGTGATGGGGCAGGAGTGGCGTGGAATATTTACAGTGGCGGGAATGGTTGAATTCAGGGATGTTTCACAATTTGATTATAACTGTGTATGTTTGCACACGCCACTGTTATGTCATGATGATCTACAGACAGAATGTCCATACATTCAATGAAATTCTCAAAATCCAACTTGCTTGATTAGTTTGTTTTTGGAAAGCACAAAACCTCATCCTGAACACAAAACCTCATCATGAGCACAAAACCTCATCCTGAACACAAAACCTCATCCTGAACACAAAACCTCATCCTGAGCACAAAACCTCATCATGAGCACAAAACCTCATCCTGAACACAAAACCTCACCATGAGCACAAAACCTCATCCTGAACACAAAACCTGATCGTGAACACAAAACCTGAACATGAGCACAAAACCTCATCCTGAACACAAAACCTCATCCTGAACACAATACCTCATCCTGAGCACAAAACCTCATCCTGAGCACAAAACCTTATCATGAGCACAAAACCTCATCCTGAACACAAAACCTCATCCTGAACACAATACCTCATCCTGAGCACAAAACCTCATCCTGAGCACAAAACCTTATCATGAGCACAAAACCTCATCATGAGCACAAAACCTCATCCTGAACACAAAACCTCATCCTGAGCACAAAACCTCACCCTGAACACAAAACCTCATCCTCAGCACAAAACCTCATCCTGAACACAAAACCTGATCGTGAACACAAAACCTGATCCTGAACACAAAACCTCATCCTGAGCCCAAAACCTCACCCTGAACACAAAACCTCATCCTCAGCACAAAACCTCATCCTGAACACAAAACCTGATCGTGAACACAAAACCTGATCCTGAACACAAAACCTCATCCTGAGCCCAAAACCTCACCCTGAACACAAAACCTCATCCTCAGCACAAAACCTCATCCTGAACACAAAACCTGATCGTGAACACAAAACCTCAACATGAGCACAAAATCTCATCCTGAACACAAAACCTCATCCTCAGCACAAAACCTCATCATGAGCACAAAACCTCATCCTGAGCACAAAACCTCATCTTGAGCACAAACCTCATCCTGAACACAAAACCTCATCCTGAACACAAAACCTCATCCTGAGCACAAAACCTCATCCTGAACACAAAACCTGATCGTGAACACAAAACCTCAACATGAGCACAAAATCTCATCCTGAACACAAAACCTCATCCTCAGCACAAAACCTCATCATGAGCACAAAACCTCATCTCGAGCACAAAACCTCATCTTGAGCACAAAACCTCATCATGAGCACAAAATCTCATCCTGAACACAAAACCTCATCCTCATCATGTGTGTGTGCACGTGTGTATTAGGTTGGGTTCATCGATTGGTAGGTGCGTGTGTAAATTTATGGGGTGGTGGGGTGGCCTAGTGGTTAAGGCATTTGCTAGTCATGCTCAATGCCTGGGTTTCATGCCCAACGGGGGCACAGTGTGTCAAGATGATTTCTTGTGTCCTCTTTCATGATATTACCCAAATATTGTTAAAAGTCACCCAGTTTAATGGCACTTACCCACAGAGCCATACAGCAAGACCACCCAGTTTAATAGGGCTTACCCACAGAGCCATACAGCAAGACCATCCAGTTTAATGGTGCCTACCCACAAAGCCCTTGTGACAGTAGGTGATACATATATCAGGTTATCGGCAACATTTTGCTAATAATTGTTCAGTTTTCAGATCATCAAACTAGATCCTAAAGCCAAACGCACAAAATGACATTTGAGAGTGAGTGATCTAGTGGGTATTGTTTTACGCCGCTTTTAGCAATATTCACAGTATAAGATCACGGCGGGGGCCACCAGTAAGTGGGCTTCACATTCTGTATCCATTGTTCGAAGAATGGAACCCGGGCCTTCGGCATGGTGAGCAAACGCTTTAACTACTAGGCTATAGAGTCCAAATTTACTACCTGGGTACCAACCCTGTATTACCCTGCCATACCGGGTACCTGCTGCAGGTATCAAGAGATTGGTACAGAATGTCTGATTGGGAATAAAGTTTGACCTTAGCCCTGGCAAATTGTATACTACTCAAAAGAAGTTAAGGATCACCCCATTCTTTCATATTGGTAATGTTAATCTGTCATGGCATGAGAGATTAACTATCGTAATATGAAAGAATCAGGTGATCCTTAACTTCTTTTGAGTAGTATATTTAGATACATGTATAAACGATCTGGTCATGCATACACTGAAGTTTTATCTTTATTCAAACATATGAAAGTCAGAAGGAATGGGTGCATAGTCAGAAAGAAATGCAAACATTAGTGACTTGTAGTATAACAATGAAGTTCAGTTGAAGTCATTAAACAATATATCACATGACTAACCGCGGGTCTAGGTGAGGTAGTGAGTGAGTGAGGTTTTAAGCCACTTTTGCAATATTCCAGCAATATCCCGTCAGGGGACACCAGAAATGGGCTTCACACAAGTCGGGAATCGAACCCGGGTCTTCGGCGTGATGAACGAACATTTTAACCACTAGGCTACCTGACCACCCCCACGGGTCTGGGTAGGCCTCTGGGTACCAGGGTCCTACTCAGTAGCCACCTGACCCGAGAACCCGAGTTACCCGTCCCAGCTCTAATAGGCTACCCACTGCCCCAACATAAAGAAGAAACATTCACAAATCTGTTTCATATAATAACGCATGTAAACATTTTCCCACAAAACTAAAAAACCCTTTTTCAAAAAATATGGTGAGATACAAAAGTTTATTATTTAACCGAGCTAATTTGTTCAGTCCGTAAACCATGAAACATAAAATGCGTGGTGTTAATTAATCAGATCAGAATCATACCTTCAGCAGGAGCGTCCTCTTTGGGTGTATCGTACATCATGACGGTCAATCTCACAACCTTGGAAATATAGCACGATTCGGACACGGTAATTATAGTATTTCAATATCCAACACAACTCCGAGATATCCCACTATCTGACAAACACAGGGTTGTTGTCCTACCAGACTTAAGTCTGAAAAATATCAAAGTATGATCCTTTTAAAATCAGAACAGAAATGACCCTAGGCAACACCTGTTAGCTGTCATGGAGTAAGTTGGTGGCAGTTCTCAAACCATAGCGTCCAGTCTTGATTGGCACACCATGAAATCACACTCCTGGAACGAAACAGATTGTAGTATTCACAATCATAGGAAACAAGTTTGCCCAATGCAACAGAAGGCTTATGACAGAGTGCTCACTGATCTGTATCCATAGATTGTATTAAAGAATATTGTAGAATCCACTTTGAAAAAGTAACTATCCCACAGGTTAGCCCCTGGAAGTGTCCTGTTCACAGGGGTGTCCAAATAAATTCCTTTTGGTATTTAATTTCAATAACCATCCAATATATATTCACAGAGAGAATTCAATTTCACATAAATATTTCCCAGTGACTTCTCCAGCAAAAGCGGAACAATATCCTAGAACAATCTCCTCTATTTTGTGATAACGGTTATCGCAGGAATTGGACTATTACCGGCGCCACTGTCCTGCGAGCTAAGGCAGGAGTGAGATGGTGAGGAAGGCTGTCTATAGCGGCAGGCGAGACAAGCCTGTACCAAATCCATTGATGTTCTCAATCAATAGGGCCGGCACTCAGGCCTTGGAGTACCACTAGCTATCAGTTCTGTACACCTAGGCATATGAAATTATTGATTGTATTAAGTACAGTAAGATTTCTAATAGATCAATGGTTTGGAGGAACTGACAACACATTATTTTGTTTTTCGTCCAAACAGATCTGAAGATGGAATTAGAGACAATTGATTGAACGCAGGAAGAAATACTGGCTTTATGCTGTGTCGTAGGAAGGACGCTCGCTCACTCTCAGCAGCTGTCTTGCTACTCTACTGTATTCGAGAAGCTTATTGAATACTTTAGCTCATAATGTGTCTCAGTTTTGGTATTGAATTCTATTGCAATGCTAATGTACAAATTCAATAGAATGTCAGATGCTATAAGTCTGAAGTTAAAGGTGTAGAGTCCGATATTCCCATAGTCATTATTTGTGTACGTTCCAACTTCCCTTTCAGAAACATACAAAATAAGGCTGAAATGTATATCAGTCATAAGCGCTTTGTGTGAAACATTGTCTGTATATAATGAGAGTAAGATTTCAGAACTGTTTGATATATATAATGAAATTTGAGTTGGAATACAAAAACATTGATGATTGACAACTGCAGTGACTCTTTCTGGACAGCAAGTCCATGCCCCTTTAAGTGAATTAGATTTCAGAGGACAATACAGTGTAGATTTACATATGTTTGCTATTTCTATGTATAGAGTCTGGACTGTGACACAGATCTTGTTGGTTTCCTTGAAGGTACACTGTAGTTTTATCTTGATGGTATTAAAGTGATTTATTGTAATCTCTGCCCGGGCTATATGACCAGGTGGCACGACTCAGCTTGGTGGATTGAATACAGAAATGAATCTTTTCGTGGAGGTTTTGTTTGATCATTGGCGACATCATGTTGTAATAGTTCATACAAACACTGCCAAATCTTGTATGTCTTCCTACCACTAATTCCATAATCAATTCTGTTGACAACAATAGGTCATGAGCGCCAACACATCAATATTTCATATAGAATGCTTTGTACATACTACAAGACAGATAAGTGTGCGATTTATTGATCTGTACAGGAAAATTGAGTCAGTGCAAAAAATGTGTATAGCTTTTCGTCATAGCTCACCTGACCAGAAATCTTTTGGTCAGCATTACAATAGATCTAGATTAAGGGAGCTCTTGTCAATTATCCATTCACATTAATATAGACATTAATGAAATTTGCTTCCTTTCCTCTTGAAAGTAAGCGAAAATAATTTTAACAAAAATCTGAAAATACATATTTAAAATTTGTTTTTTCAAATGCAGCATTTTAGTTTCTTCAATTTCATTATATATTTTGGGAAATATAAGTCAAGAAAGTAAATTTGCCTGGCTGAAGAAGCATTTTCTTTTCTGGCTTAGGGTAAGAAATTAGTCCCAAATATGTCTGGATTGCCTCTGTGTTCTAGAGGATAGAGCGTCTATCTGGAGACCGCCTCTGTGGTCTAGAGGGTAGAGTGTCTGCCCAGAGACTGCCTCTGTGTTCTAGTTGATAGAGCGCGTCTGCCTGGAGACCGCCTCTGTGGTCTAGAGGATAGAGAGTCTGCCTGGAGACCGCCTCTGTGTTCTAGAGGATAGAGAGTCTGCCTGGAGACCGCCTCTGTGTTCTTGAGGATAGAGCGCGTCTGCCTGGAGACCGCCTCTGTGTTCTAGTTGATAGAGCGCGTCTGCCTGGAGACCGCCTCTGTGTTCTTGAGGATAGAGCGTCTGCCTGGAGACCGCCTCTGTGTTCTTGAGGATAGAGGGTCTGACTGGAGACCGCCTCTGTGTTCTAGAGGATAGAGCGTCTGCCTGGAGACAGCTTCTGTGTTCTAGAGGGTAGAGTGTCTGCCTGGAGACCGCCTCTGTGTTCTGGAGGGTAGAGCGTCTGCCTGGAGACAGCCTCTGTGTTCTGGAGGATAGAGCATCTGCCCGGAGACCTCCTCTGTGTTCTGGAGGATAGAGTGTCTGCCCAGAGAGAGGAAGATCATTGGTTCAATCCTCGGGCATGTGATATGAAAACATGTTAAACGATGGTACTTGTTGTTACCCTGCCTGGTGTTCAGCATTAAGGAGCTAAAATAAGGACTAGTTGGCCCAGGAGTCAGTATACTATGCCTGAGTGGTGTATCCATGTTCGACAGTGGCATGGTATCTCAGTGGGCTAGCACTATAAACTGACATCAGTCTGCATAAGAACAAGCATCCCTGCGCTCACACATGCACATCAATTTATAAAAATCCATTACACAACATTAAATACCATGCCACTGTTAATTGCAGGATTTCCTTTTTGATACACTCTATGTACTTTGTATGCAGGTTATGGTCGTGTTATAGTATTTTAGTTGCATCATGGTGTGTCAGCTTGATGTGGGAGGAGAGCCCAAATTGATGTAAGTCTTATACACTTAACACTTTGTTAAAACCATGAGCAGTCAGTATGCAGCTTAGAACCTAGAAACATAATCAGGGTGAACTGGGACTCGAATCCTTGATCTTAGGTTCCAGGCACACCAAAGGGACACAATTCTGCACTGTTAATTGTGGCATCTTAGTTGGCTTGGCCACCTGGGTTTCCTTCCTCAAAGTGATCTCTGTGCTATGATCTTAACTCCCATACTTTCACATAGACATCTGACAATCGTAGCGTTAGGTTGATCCCAACTCCCATACTTTAACATAGACATCTGACAATCGTAGCGCTAAGATGATCCTAACTCCCATACTTTAACATAGACATCTGACAATCATAGCGCTAAGATGATCCTAACTTTCGTACTTTAACATAGACATCTGACAATCATAGCGCTAAGATGATCGTAACTCCCATACTTTAACACAGCTTTATGACAGTCGTAGCGCTAAGATGATCATAACTCCCATACTTTAACATAGACTTATGACAATCGTAGCGCTAAGATGATCCTAACTCCCATACTTTAACATAGACTCATGACAATCATAGCGCTAAGATGATCGTAACTCCCATACTTTAATATAGACCTGCTGTGGTATTGCTAAAAGTAGTTAATGACTAATTTGAAACTGAAACAAAGTACGTCAAATTCAAAATAATTTAGACAGTATTCAGCTTTTTACAGAACAGTACATCAATCACGCTGTGTAATATTGGTTTATAAAATATTGAAAGTGAAACTAAATACTGATTTGTCGAAACAAAAGATGCAATGAATTTTGTAGCTTTTGAATAAAATTGAAAAGCGATATCAATCATTGAAAAATCCAAAATGAACTTGTTACGGACCAATCATTGTTGAGTTGATTCAGAAATGGCGGAAAGGTTTTGAGGGAAGCCTGTTTGACAGAATGTACAAACCATTTGTCATGAAATTGAATTTCACTTTGTTTTGTCATCGCACTTCAAGTGGATCGATAACAATTTCCCTGAAAGGAATTCATTGAATTTCCTTGCAGACTTCAAACAATGGTTGATCTACACTCCATGTATTGGCAAATGCTACAAAATTCCAGATAATTCTGGCAGAAATGTACCCAGCCTTCGTTATTGATTCAGAATAAATAACAACTTCAATAGTAGTATGCTGATGAAATAAAGTCTTGCAACGTATATGCCATTTATTCAATGCCGATGCCATTTTAACTGAAATCTGAATTTTCAAACCACCGCCCTTTCGGTTTACAGGAAAATGCTCAATTCATGGGACACGACACAGAGGTGCTTCTAATAACAAGGAGGAAATAACGCAACTCGTTCCAGGCAATTGAGTCGTCGGAGGTCCTTGTAGTATGTTTCTATTAACACTGTTTTAAGACCGTCCAGATAAAAGGACTAAAGTCTCGACACTGCGGACAGAAATATAGAACAGTCTGATTGTTTGTTGCCACTCTTGTGTGACACATGACTTGTGTGTATATATGGGTTCAAACTGTGAAGCCAGTTTTTGGCGTGACCAGCTGTGATATTGCTGTGTGACTCACATACTCACGAGGCTACCCCACCACCTCGATCAATTTACACATCAGATTTCTTATGATGAGTGAGTGAGTGGGTAAATATATGAGTGAGTGAGTGAGTTAGTAAATATGTGAGTGAGTGAGTTGGTAAATATGTGAGTGAGTGAGTGAGTTGGTAAATATGTGAGTTAGTTAGTTGGTAAATATGTGAGTGAGTTGGTAAATATGTGAGTGAATGGGTAAATATGTGAGTGAGTTGGTTAATATGTAAGTGAGTTGTTAAATATGTGAGTGAGTGAGTAGATATGTGAGTGAGTGAGTAAGTGGGTAAATATGTGAGTGAGTGAGTGGGTAAATATGTGAGTGAAAGAGTGGATGGGTAAATATGTGAGTGAGTGGGTAAATATGTGAGTGTGTGAGTGAGTTGGCAAATATATGAGTGAGTTGGTAAATATGTGAATGATAGGGTAAATATGTGAATGAGTGAGTGGGTAAATATGTGAGCGGGTAAATATGTGAGTGAGTGAGTTGGTAAATATGTGAATGAGTGGGTAAATATGTGAGTGAGTGAGTCAGTTAGTAAAAATGTGAGTGGGTAAATATGTGAGGGAGTGAGTGAGTGGGTAAATTTGTGAGTGAGTGGGTAAATATGTGAATGAGTGAGTGGGTAACTTTGTGAGTGAGTGAGTTGCTGAATATGTGAGTGAATGAGTGGGTAAATATGTGAGTGAGTGTGTGGGTAAACATGTGAGTGAGTGAGTTGGTAAATATGTGAGTGAGTGAGTTTGAGACAGTGAGTATGTAAATGGGGAAATATGTGAGTGAGTGGTGTATAACGACATGTTAAGCAGTATGTCAGAGATATCAGAATATGCCAGCTTGATGTGGGAGGAATAATTGTATCAATGTGAGCCACAATAATGCATAATTTGTATTGCCAAAATATGACATTTACTTACATAAACACACGAGGTAATAATATCTGCATAAG